ATATTTAACTAATTTTCCAAGTTTCTATAAAAAGAAATGATATGATTCATAAAATATAACATTTATGATTCATATTATGGTGGTATAAGTTAGAGCAGAAAATTACTTGTTKGCCTACACCACCTCCAGAAAATGAAATACAACACAATATTTACAGTAAGCTCCTACTTTATATTTACTATATGCTAGCCATGGGAACAATAATGTCAAATATTTATGTAAAAACACTAAAAACCTTCTTTTTTGCAGGGCTTGAAACCGATTTCAAAACCGGTTTCAGAAATCGGTATAAACCGTTAAAAAACCGAAACCGAAAAAAATTGGATATACCGGTATTGTAATCTAAAACCGAAACCGTAAAAATTTGGATACCGGTATTAAAGTCAAAACCGAAATCGGAGAAAATTGGAAACCGTTATCATCACATCTCAATTTTTTTAATTTTTATATTTTAAATAATGCTTTTTTTAATTAACGTAAATTATTTAAAAATGTACGTAAATACGTAAATCGAATTGATACACCCATGGGATCATGATTAAAATATTGATAACCATTTAATTATTTGAAAAATTAATATAGTTGTTTTATTATAAATTTTAATAGGTAGTGATGAATAATAAATAATATTAATTATTTATCGGTAGCACATTTGACAGACGAAGGCCCGTATAATATGTGTCTTTAAAAAATTGAAATATTGGCTTTGGTGTAAAACAATGTGGTAATAATATATAATTTCTTATTTCCTTACTATAACACTAATTACTATTTATCTATCTATCTGTGTATCTCGGTTTTTCTCCTATTTTACGAGTTATTTATTCATTAAAATATAATTATTAAATTAAATTTACCAAAATGATACATTTAGAACTAGTATATTGTTACCTCATTGTAGACTCTCAGATTAATATACACTTGAAATCATAAAATAGCAAGGCTGTACGACCGATGTCAACGTGTGTTCAATCATAAATGAGTTGCATATTATTAAATATTATCAAAACAACAAATCGATCGCGGTGCGAACGCGATTTGACTGCTCGGACGCTCGGAGACCATCAGTCAGTTTGCGTTCGCGCCGCGAACAAATTTAGATCGCCGACCGCGATCKCGCAGAGGAAACCAACGCTTTAGCTTATAATATGGTCGAAGGACACAAGCACACGCGCTGTTGTATTTTGTACATAGCCGCGGATATAAAAATGTTGTTGGCCTCGAACGAAGACCGCAATTCAAACGTGTTGATTTAAAAACAAAATATGGGTTATTAGTGATGACTAATGAACTAAAATATAAACTGTATTTAACTGTAACATAATCCAGCTGGTTTAGGCGTGTGTGTAGTGTGTACCCGCATCAGCAGGTTGGTATTTAATACAAATTCAGATCCAACATATTATGGAAATGAAGAAGAGCTAAGAGATCATTTTTCGTTGAAGCTCCAAAATGTTGTATTTGATAAGGCTTACACTTAAAATTGACTGTATAAGTTATTATTAAATAATATAAATATGCTTGCGCATGAAATTAGCTGGATTTCGAAAAGCATGATAACTGATATTATTGTGTATACTGGTATGGTTTATGTGTATT